CGATCATATCCCGACCGACCGAGGAACTAACCACGTCCACGGCGCCTTACCCTTTCATGCGATGGGCCATGGACGTCGTCGGACCGCTCACAAGATCCCGCGAGAAACGTTTCATCCTGATCGTCACGGATTACTTCACCAAGTAGGTCGAGGCCGAATCGTACGCCAACATCAGGGCCGAAGACGTCGAGAAGTTCGTCTGGAAGAACATCATCTGTCGGCACGGCCTCCCCTACGAGATCGTCACGGACAATGGTACCCAGTTCACGTCGGCAACATTCGAGACATTCTGCACAAGTTGGAACATCCGCCTCAGTAAATCGACTCCCCGATACGCACAAGGGAACGGCCAGGCCGAAGCCACGAACAAGACGATCCTCGCCGGAATCAAAAAATGGCTCCAGGATAAAAAAGGAATTTGGGCCGACGAGCTAGACGGAGTCCTGTGGTCCCATCGAACGACGCCACGCCGATCGACAAACCAGACACCCTTCACTCTTTCTCACGGAATTGAGGCTATGTCTCCCACCGAAGCGACAATACCGGGTCTCCGCCGAACCCATCTCCCGAACAACGCCTGACTGAACAACAGCATGATCAAGGACTCGCTTGACTTCGCCGAAGAACACAGAGACCAGGCCCTCCTCCGGATCCAAAACTACCAACAGTTGGCAGCAAAGTACTACAACAAGAGAACGTTCAGCAGATCTTTCGCCAAAGGCGACCTCGTCCTACGCAAAGTGTTTGAAAACACTAGAGAAGTCAACGCAGGGAAGCTCGGCGCTAACGGGGAAGGCCCCTACATCATAACCATGATCGTCAAGCCGGGAGTCTACAGGCTAGCAGCGATGGACGGCACCGAAATCCTGAGGTCTTGGAACTCGATAAACCTCAAACGCTTCTACTACTGAGAACCGTGACAACACCACCGCCGACCCCGAAGAAACGAAAGACAGCCCCCCCACAGAAAAATCCAAAGGAAGAGAAAGCACCCCGCACAGGTGTAGAAAAAAAAAAAAAAAAGGTACGTAGGCAACCTTGTTCAAAAACACAAGGCTCAGTTGTAATTCTAATAAAAAACAAAAATTTCACTACTCCGCGTTCGGCAAGAACTAATACCAAAAAGCCGAGCAACGACCTCGCAAGCCACATTCCCCACGAACTTACACGGACTGATCATCCGCCCCTCGGCACTAAGACTAAAAACCTAAGTGCCGAGGAACCTCCTAAAAGCCGAGCGCCGACCTCGCAAAATACGTTCCCCACGAACAAAACGGACCAACCGTCCGCTCCTCGGCACTAAGCCTAAAAATCTAAGTGCCAAGGAACTTACAAAGGCCGAGCGCAGACCTCGCCAAACACGTTCCCCAAGAACAAACGAAGTAAAAAATGAACAAGCTCGGCCAACAACAAACTTTCGTTCAAGACGCATCAAAAGAAATAAAACGAGAATTTCCATTAAGTATAAAGGATACGTTTACAAAGCATGAACATAAAAACAGTACAAAAGAAGAAGAAAGGAAAAGATCGGCACAACAGATCATCCACGATCGGCTCATCATCCGCTTTAATACTCGGACGGCACGAATTGACCCGAAGTACCAGCGTCCAGTTTGGCAGCCTCATCCGCCAGAGGTCCGAACTCCGACTCGAGCTTGTTCGCCGTCACCACCTCCTCCTGACCGATCTCCGCCTCAACTTGCTCCACATCAACCGGCACTTCTCGACCCAGTCAGAAGGAACGGCAACACCGGCTCTCATAAGTGTCTCGTAAGAGTCACGAACGGCAACCGCCTGATTCAGAGTCAAAACGCGAGGAATCACCCGGTCCTGATCGGCAAGGAAGGTTTTAACCTTCTTCAAACGAGGCCAGAAGATATCGACCGTCTCCCTCTTCGCCTGACGAACCTCCAGAGCGACTCCGTCCTCTTGGCTTCATCCGCCGATCGCCTTTCAAGCTGGCAATCTTCGACTTCAGCCTCTCATTCTCAGCACCACGAGAGTCGGCATCCAAACGAGCCAAGGCAAGATCGGCTTCACTCCGCTCAAGGCCACTCTCCTTAAGAGCAAGAATGCCCTTGAGCTCGGCGACCTGGGACTCCAGCTCGGCGTTCCTCTCCTTCACCTCAACCAAGTCTGCACGACCCTTTGCCGATCTAGCAGACATCTCCCGGCGGTAGTAATCGATCAAAGCATTGTTACTTGCGACCGATTGGAAGGTATGACGGGCCATCTCCGGAAAAGACGCTTCTCCTCTAATGACACTGGAGGACGCGGTTCCGAAATACAGTCCGGCTGGAGACTGTAATACAGATCGCCAAGCCGACGTTGCTGCTCAAGAAACGATGACGCCTCGTAGTGAAAGTCGAAGACTTCCATAGCCCCCTCAGGCTTCATCCACGTCAGCGTCAAGATCGGCGGCTCCGCCGCCTCTTTGCCTGTATCGGCGCCCACTTCCTCTCCCTCGACGGCCCCCGTCTCGGCCATCTCCCCATGCTCGGCAGAGGATGTCCGCCTCCTCTTCTCAGACCACCCGAGGACCCCGGCACGTCGATCTCGCCGCCGAGCTCGGTAAAAGGGAAGACGGCGCTTCCTGCGAAGAGATAGGAGGATCGTCCGCAGCTCCTCTTCGGAAAACGGTTCGCTGGTGGGAGTGATGGGTTCCCTCAGACCCGTCTCCGGATCTACCCGAGTAACCCGGATGTTCGGCATACCAAGGGTCTGCCCGCTCGGCGGCCACGCGATCGCCGATCGTCACCACGGTCTTAGATGAAGACCCGGATGCCGTTTTCTCCTTCTTCCTCTCCGCCTGCTTCCCGGCCTGAGGCGCTCTTCTTCCTCTTCTTCCCCACCACTTTCTTACCATCGGCCGTCACCTCTTCTACCGGGTCGGCACCTCTTGCCTGTAGCGAGGCAAGTTCAGACTAAGCTTCCCCATTGGCTTCTGTTTCTTCAAACGCCAAGAAGCTGAGAGAACAAGGCAGATCAGCATCACGGAAACAGATCGGCAACTACAAACGACATAAATGTTTACCTGACGCGATGCGAGCCACTGAGCTTTGATCCGCGTCTCGGCGATGTCCTCCCACTTCCTCTTCCCGTGCTCGGAAAGCCGCCGAACGTCCTCGTAAAAGTTAACTGGAGGGTTAGCCAGAAAGGAGGCCGAACTGAAAAGGAAAGAGAAGAAAAAAGAAAATGATTATGCCAAAAAAGGCGATCGGCAAGCAAAGAAAACAAAAACATACTAAGGCATCCTAAAGGCTTGGCCGAGCTCTCTACCAAAGATCGGACTCCACTCGTTCCGGTATCGCCTGTCCAGTCGGGAACAGAGGCTTCGTTCACGCGAATGAAGAAATACTCGTTGATCCAGTTCCTCGTCTTGCTAGGATGACCAGTTATCATCCCATACTTCGGCTTTATACTGACATACAGGTCCCGGGAGTGCCTGGTTGACAGCAATGGACGACATCGACTCATAAAAGTCCAGATTAAGCTCCATCCCCAGTTCGGCAGCCAGAACCAGCGTGCCCGTGATATTGCGAACACCCGCCGGACAAAGTTGAGAAAAAGCGATCCGAACATCCTCACAGTACGCGACGAACAGCTTCGGAAGCGGGAAGAACATATGCGACTCCTTGAACCAAAATTTATAGGCTATAAACCAGCCCGGCGGCGCTCTCCACATACGCTCGTCATCTTCAGGAAGGTGCATTTCCAGACCAGACACGCTGGCGTGATCACGACGAACCATCAAGAGATCGTCGATCGTACAATGACTCTCCCAGATTCCTCAGATCCGTCGGCTTCCTCTTCACCTTTGGCTGTTTCGGCTCAGCTTCGAGTTCCCCCTGACCGCCGGGGTTGGCCTTTTCTCTCTGCCGAACCGCAGCCCTTTCAGCAGCCCTTTTCCCCTTGGCTATCGAAGCCTTCCTCTCCTTGGCGATCGCGTCTTTCTTCTCTTTGGTGATCTCGGCTTCCTTCTTCTTCCTGGCGACCTCGGCTGCCTCCTCGTTTTGAGCAGACATTTTCCTCTTCCCCTCGGCAATCTCAGCCGCCCTCTTCCTCTCGGCGATCCCAGCTTTCCTGGATGCTGCCGAACGAGCCCGGGCCTCCTCGACCGTTTCCATCTGCACGGCTGCCGGGACAGACGCGGCCGAGCATCGAGCACGCGTATCCTCTAAACGCGTCGAAAACGGCAAGTCGTCCAACATCCTCATCTCGAGACTCGGAGTAACAACCGGGGACTGCGCCGATCTCGCGTTGACATTGTCGACGATCGGCGAATCCTCAAGTCTGCTCGGCGTAGCAGAGGCCTCCCCCACCCTTTCAGGGGTCTGATCACTCCGATTCACGCTAGAAGAATCGGCATCTGACCTAGGCGTTGATTCCACGCTAGATCCCGTGACGTAAATCTCCTCTGCCGAAGCGGACTCCGTGTCTGAATCGATCCTCATCACAGCAAATAAATAGAGATCGGCGAATTGAGAAGCTCGGCAAAGTCGGCGAAAAGAGAAAATTGGAGAGCTCGGCAAAACCACAAAACTAGAGAGAAGCGAGAGAGAATTCTAGAGAGAGAAATTATTACCTCTTATGGAGCGAAGAACAGCAGTTCCGGGCATCATGCTCCTGCTTTTATAGACCGAAAGAGAAATCCGAAGCGACGCAATGATTATGGAGAAGAGAAACGCTCGGTGGCCCACGCCTTTTCACTGCATGGACGACACGTGGCACGCTCTTGATTCACGCCAACCCATTCTACGCCGAAACGACGCCTCGAGATCGACACCTTCAGCATATGCCGACTTGGGGGGGGGGGCACCCCTCCATATGGGCCGGCCCAAATCAAGAGGCCCACCTAATTGTCCAGGACCGCTGGTCCGAACGTCCCCTCAAGCTATAAATAGCGCAATAATTACCTATTGACGGGATAGTTGAAAAGTTAGAGAGAGAAACCTTAGCATTTAACACATCACAATTTGCCGAGCTCTGTCTCCTTTGCCGAGCTGCGTCTCCTTTGCCGAGCTGCGTCTCCTTTGCCGAGCTGCGTCTCCTTTGCCGAGCTCTGTCTTATTTTAAAAGAGATCGTCTTTTGACCGATCTCTATTGTAATTGCCGATCCCGCTTACTTTTAAATACGAAAGTCTCGACCCACATCCCCTCATTACTTGTTTTGCCGAACCGAATCATCTCAACTCTTACAAAGACTTTTTCAGAATCAATATGTCGAATGCCAGAATTTATAATCAGAATATTGGAACAATTAAAAGGACTTACAGGAAAGAAGAGAAGGAAAAGAAAGAAAGCACTGGATTTGTTGCCCACTCTCGATCAATGAACTGTGGAAATCAAATACGAGTCAGGAGACGATTATACCCTTATACATTGAGTCTGAGACCCAACCTAAATGCTGGCTCTGATTAACGATTATGTAGATCAGGACGGAAGTTAGGAGGATTAATTGTAATCGATTCAAAGACAGTGTCGCGAGAATAATGGGGAGATGGTGGTGATGAACCGAGAAAACCACCTTCGGAAAAAAGTGGTAATCGTGATGAGAAACGAATCGAATCACGAATCACAACGCCGGGGAATTAAAATTCCTTCCGCCGGCGTTGCTTCCCTTTCTATGGGCTTTGTAAGATTGGTGAGGTGTGTAACACCAATAAAAAAGACAAGACACAAAGACACTAAGAAAATAATATTTGACTTTAATTTTTTGATAAAGCTATATGAACACAGAACTTATTAAAATGTATAATTTTTTTTTACGTCATATATAATTTTTTTTTTAAGAATGTGAGTGTAATTATTAATTAACGAATAAAACAAATAAGTTAAAATAAATAGGATTGTCTTTTTTTAAAAATATTTCAATTATGAATTTGCTTTAATCTGACCATATACACAAAAATATAATTTATAATAAAAGATAATAGTATTAACAACAGTCTAAACACATCACAAATGATAATAGTTTAATTTTTAAAGTACAAATTTATTAAATAAATAATATGTGTCACACATAAATAATAGGTGTTTCACCTATAAATAATTATAAATAAAATATTTTTAACTAATTAGTTCAATAACAAACAAATCTTTCTATATTTTATCCTTTCAATGTTCATCCTATAACATATATGATTTAATATTAGATTTTTGAAATAATTATTTTTAATAAATTTATGAATTGTCAAATGTGTTTGGGAATTCTAGTTAGAGTAATCAAAATAGATAATACTGAAAATAAATATGCTTGACAATGAATATAGAAATAAATCAAAATTAATAAGGTAAGAAAAATTATAGAAGTGACAAATCAACAAAAATAGTTTCAATGTTTAGGTACGATATATCATAAAAATTTGTAGAAAACAAATTAGTTTCAGCGCGATTTTGTTAACTCTTTAGAACAATAATAACTATTTAGTATTATTATTATAATATTGCTAAATTTTTTATTCCCTTTGTTCTTTAATGAGTAGTATTTAAGAAGGTATTTTTTTTTTTTGGTCGTACACTGGGAAACAAAAGGTGTCTCCCAATAATTTATTAAAAAATAGAGTTCAATTACACACGGATTCTTCTTGGTCTTGTAGACCCAAGTTCATCCGTCTCAAACAAAGAAAATACATCTAAAGGAGCGGCCTCTAACGTATGAAACCCTCCCGGCAACGAAAAAGCTTAGTTCGCCAATCCATCTGCAAGACAACTGGCCTCCCTATACACATGAGAAATCCGGACTAACCAGCTCTTTGCAAGAAAGCCGTGGCACAAACATATCAGGAACGACAGTGGATGAGTCTCACTAATCCCTGTCCGAAGAAAACCCACTATCAACTCCGAGTCAACCTCCAGCTCCACCCGAGAACACCGCTTCTGAGCACTATTTTATTTCATAAATAGGTGGTGTTTACATATTTCAAAGAAAAAATTAATTATTTTTTGTTGTCTTACAGTTTGAATTCTACATACTGACAAATCTGAAAGTGAAGTATTTTGGGATTGATTTTAAAACATGTTTATTTTTTTTTAAATGATTTCTTATTTTAAAACAAACGAAGTATTATGTAAAGTAAATGATATGTATTGCAAATAAATTTGAAAAAAACATTATATAAAATGAGTTATTGCGCGATTTCGCGCGGGTTCAAGTCCTAGTTACTTTAGTGGAAAACTAATAAAGAACTACGTTTATAATTTATTTACCTATTTACCTATTATATGTAAATTTTATTGAAACAAAAAGTTTGGTCATTTTAACATATTATGATATATGTATGTTATAAAAATACAAAAGAAAAACATGAAAAAATAATCAATGATTATTATGGTCTACCATAAAAAAAATATATAAAGAGTTATATATTATTTTCTACAGTGTTCTGAGTGAAAATGTGATTTTAATGTTTAAGAATTTTACAGTCGAGACAAAATATTATAATCTAAAGAAAGTGAGAAGAAAAAAAGGTTAAACATGCTAAATTTTGGGAAGAAAAAAATGAAGATGAAATGTGGATTTAACATATCGACAATGTGAAAAATGTTTTGGTGAATAATATGTCCACCAATATTTAAAATATCTAACCAAATTAGGATATTATATTATTTAGTGTTAAAATAAAATACTTATGTGATCAAATCAGAAAACAATTAATAAAAACTTGATATAGGTTTAGTCCCGCGCAACGCGCAAGCTCATTTTCTACTATACATAAATAAGTACCCAAATATTCACAAGTTATTTATTTTTTATTTTAAAAAATACTGAAATAAATCAAGGAACAAAAACAAACAATATGCTTCTTATATATGTTCAACAAATTATAAAACAGAATTAGAAAATAAATATTTTATTTATTCAAAATAATATAAAAATGACATGTTAATCCATAATAATTTATATAAAACTACAATTTGCAGTAAATATTACCCCGTGCCTTAATGTGCGGGAGATCATCTAGTTTCACATTAAAGAATCAACAGATAATACTTACATGTATGCTCTTCTTGACCTAATCAAGACACTGTGCAAATCTCCTACGAAGATCATCATGGAAGACCTAATCAAAGCAGACAATACACTTTCGGATCTGATAAACGCTGGCTTAAACTTGGATTGGTTTCGTCAGAAGTTGGATCACGCTTTGGAAAAACAGATAGCTTACGACACACGGATTTGAGAACTCGAGAAGCAAGTCATGAAGCGAAAGCTGGCATTGGCAGAACTTGAAAGCGACCTAGACAAAGAGAAAGCCGCACCAACGGCTGCATTGATGTTGCTTGACTGAAATTATAGCAGAAGCTGTTGCTTCTTCTTAACTAATTAGGTCAAGAATTTGCTCTCCATTATAGGAAGTTAGTTAGGAATATGTTTTACTTTCACACTTTTTATTGAACTTTCTTTTCTTGAGAAACGAAACGAGAGCCTTATTATTATTATTATTATTATTATTATTATTATTATTATTATTATTATTATTATTATTATTATTATTATTATTATTATTATTATTATTATTATTATTATTATTATTATTATTATTATTATTTTTTGTCAACAGCCTATATCGGTTCCGAAAGCGCAACCGATGGAACAGAGTTTACATAATATAAATCATAAGGCAGATCTCGAGTACTTTGTGCTAACTTGTCCGCCTTCGTGTTTTTTTCCTTGGGATATGAGTTAAGGAAAACGCCTGAAACTTCCTCCTGCACTTCTTCACCTCTTCGAGGAGAATTTCGAACGCCACTCTTCAAGTTTAGATAGCATCTTCATCAAATCAGAACAGTCAGTTTGAAAATTCATTTGCCGTTTATTATGGACTATCATACTTTGCATAGCCAATACCAGTGTTTCCAGTTAGGTTTGTAACAGGGATAGACCCCACCGTAGGTTACTAGCCCCTACTAATGTTAACCCTGATCCCGAGTCGAAATATACCAACCCAGTCCCGCTCGACATTCTGTGTCCTTCCACGACCCATCTATTTAGCACCATGCGCCGGGTGGTGTAGAATTTAGATGAAGTTTTGTACTCACAGGCGCCATATCTGACAGCGTCTGAGCAAAAGCCTATGCACGGGCCTCTATTATCACTGAGTCCAGGACATCCCTCGGGTCCTTATCGTCATTCAATTTTTTTTTTTTTCCGACCTTTCCAAATAACCATTGTAACCATTGATATATTAACATGTCGTCATCATCTGGAAGATTCCAGAAAAGATGTGCCATATTAGTAAACAAAGCTCCAATAGGAAAATGTTGGAGAGGTTAAAACGCTTATGTTAGAACTTTACACACTCTATTTTTTTTCTTTTTTTCGTGTGATAACCTCGAAGTAGCTCGGGCCGAAACCTTAATCTCCGTAGGCCCAGAGTCAGCCTTTAATGTATTCCCTTTGGGAATACCCCTCCTCCCAAGTGACTTGAACGACCTCTTGTTACCAGACCTCTTGTTGAGTTGAGGTTCTCTCTTGTTTATATTTTTAGCGGAATCAGTGTTACAAGTCGAAAGCTAATAAATTTTATCTATTGCATTTCGACTTCCGATATGGGATACAAATAAGACTCACATAAATCAACAACTTTTGAAGGTTTAGCACACATATAACTTTGACATAATCTATTATATAACAAGAGGCCAATTTTCTTCAGTACAATTTTATTGAAATGCCACATGGCACTCTCTCCGTCGTCAACAGGAGAGAGCTTCTTATGTAGAAATCTGTATTTTTTGACAGAAACCTAAGCGTTGAGGAAGAATGAATCGCCATTGCTGTTTTTGCAATTTTTTTTTTAATTTATTGAAAATGTCACATGGTGCTCTCTCCATCGTCAGCAGGAGAGAGTTGACCTGTTATGTAGACATATGTAATCATATTTTGTAGACGGAAATCTAAGCATTGAAGAAGAATGAATCGTCGATGAGAAGAGCCGTTGCTGTTTTTGCAAACTTTTTTTTTTAATTTATTGAAAATGCCACATGACACTCTCTCCACTGCTGACTTGTCAGTCTGCTGGAGAGAGTTAACCTCTTATTACATAATAGATATGATCAACACAACACAACACAACCGAACAAAACACAAACAGTACGGGGTAATCTGTATACGTTATACAACTACAGCTTGCGAATGAGAAGTGGAGCACCAAACTGTGGATGAAGGGTGAAGATTAATTCAGGCGCATGAACATAGGAAGGAGAGAGCTCGAAGGAGAATCTCTGTAGAATCAAAGTCATAGCCATCTTTGCCTCCAACATAGCAAAGTTTTGTCCGACGCATATCCTCGGGCCCCCTCCAAAGGGAAAGAAGGAGAGTTGGGTCTTTGCTGCCTTAGAGACACCGTCTTTGAATCTCTCAGGCTTAAATTCTGCTGCATCTTCGCCCCAAATATCCGGGTCACGGTGGACTAGCAGAATAGGTAGATGGATCTCAATGCCAGCTGGTAGTGTCAGATCGCCTAGCTTCATCTCTTTGTGAGTGGCTCGGGTCAGCTGGATTACAGAAGGATATAGCCTAAGGACCTCATATTGTATCATAGTCATCTGTGAGGGGATCAAATCATTCAGCAATAATCATTAAAATAAAACAGGACTCATGTCATTTGGACGTTTATAATTCGATTTTTACTCACAACTTTGAGCTGGTTCAGGCCATTTAAATGAGGTTCTTTATCGCCAAAAACTTGCATCACTTCTTCTCGTGCGCGAGCTTGCCAGTCTTGGTGTTGGCTTAACAGCACCATTGTCCAGAGCATAAGTACTGAAGTTGTATCTTGCCCGGCGAAATAGAAAAACTTGCACTCCTCCAACACTTCCTCAGTGCTCATTTTGTGTCCTTTTGCTTGCCCCATATTCGATTCAAGAAGTATATCCAGCAGATCATTGCTTGGTGCTTCCCCAGATTCTCTCGCCCTTAACCTTTTGTTAATGATGATCCCTCTCAGTATAGCTCTGATTTCTCTGTCTGCTGCTTTCATCCTTCTATTATTCTTCGTCGGGAGATAACTATGCGAAAAAAGATCAAGTGTCAATGTCAAAATGTGGGGAGAATATCCAAGAACATGGTTTATAATCTCAGGTAAGTAATCAAGAGTCAATCTCTAAGCGTCTTGTATTAAACCAGACAAGTTGATGTTTTTCATTACTGATATCCAGGGATGAAAACTGTCTTAAAAGCTTGTACGATGAGGTCCAATATTTCTGTTTGGAGCTCAAATACCCTCCGCCCTTCTTTGTAGCTGCTGCCAAAAGCAGTACGAGAGATCACTTCTGCCGTTATACTCACTAGCCAAGGCCAAACGTCCACTTCACGGGACGATCCTTTATCCGGGACTAACTTGTCCCATTCACCAACAACCTCGCTACAACTTTGGTGGAATATAGGTACAATATTCTATACATACAAGTAGAAGGCACGAATTGGGTCAGATCAAAATGAACATACATACATACATACATACATACATAAAGCAATGTAATTTGTTTCCAGGGTTATGAAATAAGAAGCCTAAACCTTAATCTTCTCAAGGTGGAAAGCCGGGTTGATGATTCTTCTGTGTTTTGCCCATTTGTCACCTTCATAACTAAAGACTCCAGTGGCTATGAATTTGGCCAAAGGGAATGAATGCGGCTTTTGGAAATCATAATTTGTGTGGAACACTTCCTTGATTTTCTCAGGATCCATTAACGTGATGACTGGTGTAGTTCCAAGCCATGAAAAGAAAGTCTTTCCTGTTCAAACCACCAAACATATACAAAAGTTGATTATGTTTAAGTTAACACAGATAAATGAAGAGGTATATAAGCTAAACATACTGTGAGTCTTCAGCATTTGCATGTGAAAAGGCCAGAGACGTTCTCGGATATCATCTGTTACTTTGATTGGTTTAGATCTTGCCTCCTTCATCATGTTGGAACTCTTCAACACATCGCCGACGAGAGGCGTGTAAGGCGTTCCCGCAAGACCCTGTCTTCTCAGGCAACTCTCAAGCATTTTTGGTTTAAACCAAATCCAATTCAAAGCTCTCCATACCCACCACGACACAAGAGCTATAGCTATTGATATTGTAACCGATGCAAGTGATATCTCCATTTTGTCTCCCAGAAAAGAGAGAGAGAGGGAGACAGAGAGTTGGATAAACTGCTAACTTTTGACAATGTCGTAGAAGATATTGGTGTGCATGGTAATGAAAAATAAAGTTAGCAGATTACATTGATATATATATAATGTTTTTTTTCCCTTGGAATTTAAGGGGAAGTACCCATTGAGAGGGATGCTCTTAAATACCCCATCTGTATTTTTTGTGTCGGCAATTATTTTGTTTGAGCATTGATCTTGTGCTTAAATTGGAGCCTCACAGTCACATATGCCACCAAGGGCATTTTGGGTTTGTGTGGACTGAAACGCTACAAAGAGTGGAAAAAACATTCATTATGCATGCATGAAGATAATAAGATAATAAATTTGGTAGTTGTGGTCAGACTCTATTATGGATTTCTTACCACAAGAATGCTCTTCGTAAGAAGCCTCAGCTCCACGAGTGAGACAAAACTAGCAAAGATTGGAGAAAAAATGACGCTTTCAAACTCGTACCAAGTGATGATGACAAGTTTCTCAAGATTGTGCTCTATAACCTTTGATAACCACAAAGGAGAGGATCAGTCTCATCAAAGAGTTAACAGAATTTAGATGGAAACTACTGATTTTCGGAGTTTCAATTTAGATGGTCAACGAATTGTACAAATCCATAATCTCTCAGTTCCTTATGACTTACATCTTCAAAGTGTAAGGCTGTGACGTTGGTCTACATTGTCCCCCATGCCTTTGATAACACAGAAGTCCTAACAGCATTGATTATGCTAAGAAGGCTCTCAGGCAAATCGCTAAAGTTATCATTAAGGCTTCATGCATTGATTATATTTCCCTGATACAGCCGAAAACAGAAAAATCAAAGAGAAGTGCAAAAAAAAAGAACGTTAATTCATAGTGAAAAGAAATAGAAATATAGGTGAAACCAATGTAAAAGCAAAGAAAATATTCAAGGAATCAAGCAAAGATTAGAGAACAACGTAAGGAGTCTTTAAACCGGCATGAACTTGTCTCATTCTTTCCACAGCTCTGTCTGAAGATTCCATCTGCTTCGACTGATCTTGGTGTTTCCTCTTCCGTTTCTCTTCCTTCCTCTTCCCAGGTTTCTTCCCATGGAATCCGTGACACAGTAACCGAAACGCATCTTTCTCAGTCAACATACCCTGCCATGCTCATCCACTCTCTCAATCCGAATGTCCTTAAAAGCATCTCTGAATCTGTCATCTCCATGATTGTCCGTAACACCTCCTACAACAAGCTTGCCTTTCTTCTCCTTGAAAGTTCCTTGCTCTCTGAGACGCTTTAATGCGCCTGATAAACCTGTACCAACCTCAACCTCACGCATCACTCCATCTCTAACATCATCAATTGCCTCATCTTCATCAATGGAACAAACCTTGTGAAACACGTCTCTTCGTCTCTCTGATGATTCAATTTTGCTTTGATCCTCATCTCTTGAAGAACCGAGATCATGGTCAGCTTCCACCGACCTTGAAGCAAGACCTTCGTTTTTTGGAGCGATATTTACTAACCAATTTCTTGTTCTTCCTCATTGAATTCTTCTTCATAGCAATATTGAGCTGAGACATTCTTATGGAAATCCCCGCTGATGAGATCGAGACCCCAAAAAATTGTGAAATAAGAATGACAACTCCAAACGCTGAAAATTCCATATATATAAGAGAGATCTAGGTCATAACGAAACTAACTGATTTAGAATCCAAACAAGAATATGAAAATTATATGAGAGGAAAAAAGAAGAAGGCAATCTCCAAATTCCACGTGTCACGTGAATTCGGCGACAACTGCAACATTCAGCGATTTCAAACGGCAATCATGTTTGTAAGAATTTCCAGGGATTATCATCTTATGATAGTAGAAAAATGGGAATGGATCCTTCTTCGGTAGTCCTCTGGAGAGTAGTAGCTATCACTATGAGTCTGAGTTATAGTTCTATATACTAGTTTGGATATGATTGGAAAAATTGCTTGGAAATAGTAAATTTAATTATATGTGTCTAAAAATCTTGGAACAAATTTATTTGACAAACATCAAAAGGGTTTACGGAGTTAGATCTTGTGGAGGATAAGATGAGCACCAAATTGTGGGTGAGTGGTCATGACTGAGTACGGCGCATGAACATAGGAAGGAGAGAGCTCCAAGGAGAATCTCTGTAGAATCAATGCCATAGCCATCTTTGCCTCCAACATAGCAAAGTTCTGTCCAATGCAGATCCTTGGTCCCCATGCAAAGGGAAAGAAAGAGAGTTGGCTCTTTGTTGCCTTTGAGATACCGTCTTTGAATCTCTCAGGCTTGAATTCCGCTGCATCGTTTCCCCACAGCTCTGTGTCGAGTTGGAGTAGTAGAATAGGTAGACTTATCTGAACGCCGCCCGGTAGTGTCAGGTCGCCTAGCTTCATCTCTTTGTGAATGGCTCTGGTCAGCTGTGCCACTGGAGGATATAGCCTAAGGACCTCATTGAGTATCATCGTCATCTGCGAGGGATTCAATATTTTTCAGCAGAACATAAGGTAAGGACTTAACACTACAAGAATATTGAGTTTTAATAGCACAATAATATAGCGTTTTTGGTAAAAGTGCTATAGTTATTATACCTCTATGTTTTAGATAGCGCTTCTATTTTTGTAAACGCTATCATAACTGTTGGTTAAAAAATAAAATTATGCGTATCATTTATAAATTAAAAGGTCATTTTTAATAGCATTGCAAACGTTATAATAGTGTTGAGAGGAAAACCAAATTTTCGTTCCCCGGCACTTCGAAAAAAATAAGGTTTCAAAATGGGCTCCAAAATAGAAAATCCCCAATTACTCAGACCTAAAATTTCATGTTCTTCCCCTTTACCTCTCCTTTCCTCTCGATTCTCACAGTCTCCACCGAATCCAATTACTCGTCTACTGCGGACCGGAGTCAGTTCTATTATCCGGATCCTCCCGCCTCTCCTTCGTCTCAGGGATTTCTCCTCGGAATGCTCACGACGGATTCTAGCTATCGACAGAAGATCCCAAACCTACGCAGACTGGTCCATCCAAGTCCACCACCGTAAACAGATCCTCTTCATCGTCTCAGAAGGAGTCAACAACAATGTCTCGACCCAAGTGTAGCTGCCGCCACCGATCCAAAACGGACTGGTCCACCCAATTCCACCACCGTAAACGGATCCTCTTCATGTCGGAAATTGACAGCGAAGGTAAAATTTCTTTTTAAGCTTTTGGTCAAGACACTTAAAATTGGCAGTGTGTTAGATTCAATTTAGGTTTTTGAACTTAAGGTTTTGGATAATTGTTTCTCTTAGTTCAATCGATTTTTTGTTTTCATGGTCTTTTGTATTTGTGTAATTGATATCTATTGGTTTGTTTTTTGCATGTTGGATCTCACACATACAAAAACTACAAGGTATATACGGATTCTGTAGTTGTTCCAATCGTATATATGTTCATTTTTAACATAGTAGTTTGTTTGCTTTTAAATTTCTCTGATGGTTCCTCCACAACTAGCTTCATTCGTCACTACATTGGGTTTGATTTCCTTTTAAGCGACTTGAGATTTGTTTTTGTTTTTTATGTTTCTCTCATTCATACACCTCTCATTGAGTCTGTTATGGTCTTTTTGGCTTTGGATGCAGCAATAAATATTACATAAGAACTTTTGAGCTTGATGGCAAACGCATAAAGCTCCAAAACTGGGATGCGGCTGGTCATGACTCATGAATGGTTTCGAACCATCACCACTGGTGAGTGAGACCCTTAAATTTTTCTTTTGAGTTGTTTGTTTTATAAGTGTATACTTAGCCCATATTGACCTCTGCAATGACTCTACTTTTGATTTGTTAAAAAGGATTAAGAGTCACTGTATTTGACGCTCGGATCTCTTGGGAACAAGCCGAATAACACATTTCTAGTGTGTGCAATCAACTTTAATGTAATGGCTAATGATTCAGTTCTAATGCTTATTTCTGGTCTCATTTCGTATCATAATTGAAGTTTTGTGTTTGGTTCTATCTTGGTTGTCTTATTGCTTAACGAAACCATATTGTTTTCTTTGCTTGTTGTTTAAGAATTTTCCAGCAGTTCAAGTTTATGTCTTTGTTCGAGTTATAAGTGCTTCTCCTATTCTTTTGGTATTCAGGTTTGAAATTTTTTGTGTTGTTGAATATCCTAAGTTTGGTTTATGGAATAATATATAGTTTTGTTTCCTTTACTCTTTAAGCTATTGCAGTTTTTTGGTTTTGATTATGATAAGATATTGTCTTCTCCTAGCAGATCAGATGAGTTTAATTAAGTTTTTTCTTCAGGTGGAAGGGAGGTAACCACTCACTGCCTATGAGCAGATATATGGTGTTAAGATGCTAGATTGCACCGTAAAGCTGCCAAAACAGTTGTTCGGCGAAGGTGGAGGAGCCTTGGTGATTGAGGTGGCTCAGCTATGAGGTGGTAGAGATCTGCTGAGATAATTCTGAAAACTTAGACTAGAAATTAGAGTAGATTAGAAATCAGTAAATATGAAGAAAAACAAATTATTGTAAAATATTTTTTATATTATTAGTTTATTTATTGTTCTTGTAAATTAAATTATTAGTTTGAAGTTTTTAGAAATCGAAATTTAAATTCTAAAAATTAAAATTTAAAATTCAAAACTAAAACCCAAATTATTACAAATAATATTATTAATAGCATTTAGTAACAGCTATAGTATATTATATTATAGCATTGAAAATAACGCTATGTAATGTAAATAAATAA